GTCTATACCGATATACAAGTGGGGTCAGATTGTATTTAGTCTATACCGATATACAAGTTGGGTCAGATTGTATTTAGTCTATACCGATATACAAGTGGGGTCAGATTGTATTTAGTTTATACCGATATACAAGTGGGGTCAGATAGTATTTAATCTATACCGATATACCGCTGCAGTAGATTGCGTAATGCATCAGGTACGAAGAAATCCTCTCACTTGAAAGAGAATGTCGTCACGCAAGAACGTACCGTGAGTTACTGTTTTTCTAACCTTGACTGCCTTGATATAAATATTTTGTTTTCACTATTTTCTCACGTGAAGGGCATGTAAAGGTATAACAAAGGGTACACACACATATATGTACACATATATTTAACCGAATATGCTTTTTTTTTATTGTATTTGAATAAAAGGACCACAGTTGTTAAAACATACTTTTTTGAATGTACACTGTTTGTGGTATATCAGATGGGACAGACTATAGTGGAAATTGTATTAGGATAGCGGCACACGAAAGTCTCCATCCTTACTGTTTATGGAAGTAGCGCCTCCTTTCTAGTGTTTATATTACAGGCGTGGATCAGTACAAAACCACACACCTCAGACTACGTCTTAGTATAGCGGCACACGGAAGTCTCCATCCTTACTGTTTATGGAAGTAGCGCCTCCTTACTAGTGTTTATATTACAGGCGTGGATCAGTACAAAACCACACACATCAGACTACGTCTTAGTATAGCGGCACACGGAAGTCTCCATCCTTACTGTTTATGGAAGTAGCGCTTCCTTACTAGTGTTTATATTACAGGCGTGGATCAATACAAAATCACACACATCAGACTACGTCTTCTGTATTGATTTTTATGATGTAGCGTATAACAAAACAAACCGTTTACTTACTCATTTCCTCTGTGATCATTTTCTTTCCTTCTAAGTTTTTTGACATGAATGATGGGAATCATTCTTCTTTCTATACGTGACTTTGCGTGAAACAATTGTGGGCAAATACGTGATCCCTTTTTTTTTATTCTACGCAAAAACAATAAAAAGTTTATTATATTTAAGTGCTAACTAGCCTGATAAGGAATGAAAAAAAAACAAAAAAACACACACACACGGAGTTTTGAAAATATAAGCGACAAACAGTTACAGTTACCTGTTTTATTTATGTACCATAGATAGATATATAATGATTAAATGCGGCTGACATTTCACGTGAAACCTAAATGTATTTTCTTTAGTGTGATTGATTATATATATATTATGTGTTACCGAGAATGGCTTACTGCGGGGAGAAAATCGACAACTTTCATACCCGTGCACCAAGGAAATTGCTGTTAAGCCAATTCGTTGTGCGGATTATTCGAAAGACAGCATAGAAAACGACATTTCTATATATTAAAAAGAAACTGGCTATTGGATTGGATTCCATCGACCATTACGTGAATGGCTTCGATTAATTCATTAGTCTAATAGCGTTTTATTTCACAACGTAAGTCAAGATGTTTTTTTCTGAGCCAGGTTATTTATTACGTTGCCATGAACACCACATCAGTAGTACCGTAACATGCCAGTAACAGTTTTAATGGCATATTTAAGAAAATATGTTGACACCAGATAACAATCTACAAGTTTTGAGAAAATGCTGTCTCGTTTACATGTTATGCTTATAAAGGTGATTACTCCGTTGGACGCTAGATCGTACTTTGTTGGTATCCCCCTTTTCGGACCAGAGGGGTGATATTGATATCCCGTCGTTTTTTTCTCTTGTCATAACGGAGGTTATGTTGTTAACCATGTTGTATGAAACTTAGTAAAAACTTACTAAATGTATACAGTTACTGCTTGAAATATTCATTAATTTAATTTAGTAGTTTGTTTGTAGTTAAGCACAAAGCTACACAATGGGCTATCTGTACTGTGCCCACACCACATATATCGAAACCCGACTTTCAGCGTTATGAGTTCGCAGACTTACTAAAAGAAAATCGATAAATGTATAGTTTACAGGCGAGACTTCTCGGAACTGCGCAGAAATGAAAGTAGGAACATTTTTTCATTTTCCTTGCGACTGACATGAGATAAGTATTACATAATTCAAAAATATCAATTCTAAACTGTGTTTAGTTAAAAATTGTTGAAATCATATAATTATTATTTATTTAAAAATAGACTAGAATATACTTTCTACACAGAATAGAAAGGCAGGACAACTACAGTCAGTGTAAGAACAACTTGGAAGATCAAACTTGCCTTATGACGCAGCGCTTTAATTACATCAGTGATGATATTTTTCTTGACTGTAATGCACCTATCTGCATTACAATAATTGTTGCAAACTAGTTCATTGCTAGTCATCTATTCCTGGCCTGCCCAATCACTAGATCTTAGTCCCCAGCGAAACGTTATTGGATATTCTTAAAAGCATATTTCGACTTTACTCTCCAGTTTTAATATCCCTAAAGTAATCGAAGCATTTCCGAATGTGGAGTGGTACTATGTTCCTTTTGAAAATTTCCGGCTTTATCATATTTCGTTTTGAAACAGACATAGCTCTATTCTAAAGACTTCTGGTGACCCAACGCTCTTTAAATATGTTTTCATTTATTGACCAATTCCAGTATACACACGTATGGTGAGGAAACTTGTCTGATTGTTTCTCGTAAGTGATTTTAGAACAGTAAGGTTTACAAGTAGGTTTTAGATTAGTGTATCTCACCCTAAACATTTCGATAGTATTGAATTGATGCATTACCAAAGGTACCGTAGAAATGAGTATATACTAGAAAAGATAATTCGATGACGAGGAACCCACTTTGAGACTAATAATGGCTGGAGACGACTTGAATGGGTAATGAAGAAAAACTTTAATATAAGTTTAACATAACAGCAAATGTACAACGTTTCGACAAGGTTTTGTCATCATGTTGTTGGGAAGGTCGAAACGTTGTACATTTGCTGTTATGTTAAACTTATATTAAAGTTTTTCTTCATTAACCATTCAAGCCGTTTCCAGCCATTACTAGAAAATATAATTGTATTTTCCATTGTACTTTTAGTTTCGAAACCATTCTGCCATGAAAGTTTTTAATCTCATCCATACATGTTGCATAACGTTAGACTGTTTTAATCTTAGGTTGAGATCAATAATGTTATGTATACAAGTTTGTCATTGTTTAAAAGAGCAAGTGTTTCTATCTAACGCGCTGTGGACGTAATCATGTCATGTGATTCATTTTACTGTGACGTTCGTTTATTCTGAGTTTACACGACTACTTTGTCATAGTATTGCAGACCTGTAGGCCGTCAGTAACCAGACTGATGTAACAATAACAAGAGATGTCTTGGCTTATTCGAATCTGTAGGGATTAATGTAGGATTAGGTGATTAATAGACATAATTGACAGCTTATATGTTTTATTGGGCCTCCCTGAAACATTAATATAAAACACAGTAACGAAATTTAACTCGGCAACATAAAAGCAAATATATTTGTGGCTCTTCTCAGCTGCTGAATTGAAGTATTTCTTTACATTTAGTTATTTGTGGACTAAAACTATTTGTCAATTTTCTCTTTTGTTCTAATTTTTGTTGCCATTCAGTTTTTTGCAGTTTGGCAGCTATCCTGTTATCAATCCACAAAATGAAAGTTTCCCGGATAATTTCTTCTTCCACCGTAAGGACCTATATCACGTAACCATGCTTACGAACTCTGATCCAGTCCTTCTTAACGTTACCTGTCCGACGCCAGGAGACTGGTTTGTGGTAGCTTTTATGACAGAAAACTCTCAAAAAATAGTACAAAAAGTAAGCTACAAACACGCTACCAAATTTGATTACAAAACTTTGCAGTTTTAAAATTTTCAGACGAATTTACCCTTTATTCTGTAAATGTGCTGTTAAATTCGACTCGTTTTAATTGCTTTTGTTTCTTTGTTATTACCTAGGAGATAATACCTGTTATGCACATGGAGAATATTGCTGTAATACTGCACATTGTGCAAGGATATCGATATCAATATCTTTCCACGGTAGTTCAGATGATATCTCGGCTTCACCAACCTTTGAATGAGAATGACCAGTCATGTGGGTAGTGCTAATTGTTCTGGGTAAATACAATGTTCCTTGCAAAATAAGAAACATTGGCTTTGGTCAGTCTGGAACAAAATGTCGAAGAGTAAGCAGTTTGAAAAAAAGAAGTCTAGTAAAAAACTAGACAGCCCATCACTCATAAAAGCAAGTACACACACACACAGTATTTGTGTTAAATGTTATTACAATAGATTGTTCATTTCATATTTTATTCTGTGTCTACTCTCTTTATTTCATTCAGTCTCACAACTCAGTTATTCAGATATTTATCATTATTTCTTAATAAATATCGTGATCAAATATCTAGTTATTCTGCAGGCCTGTCTCATTGCTTTAAAGTTAATTCAGTTTTTTACCTGGATATATCACAGAGTGGATGGGAAGGAGAAATTTTTATTTTATACTACCAAAACTAATTGGCTTAAGTAACTAGAAAAACTTTGTTTCACTGTGCCAAAAATAGTTGATTTTTCCTTTTATTTATCTATATATAGACAATAATTAATATTTTTATACTGTAACTCATGTAAGAAGAAGCTTTACAAAAAGTTTCATCTCAGAAGAGAAGTACATAAGAAAAAGGACTCTAGGATATGAGAAATAATGCCTTTGTCTGTAATTCTACCAAACAGTGCTATGAAATCAAATAATTAACCACATAGTTGACTGTTGTACATTTATTTAGCCTTTGAACAGTAAGTGCATGACTGTTGTGTGTATACCACTACCTGCTTATAGTGCTAGCCTAGAGGACTTAGGATATAGCTATTTGTTAGTGGTAGTATTCCAGTTCCAGTAGTTGAAGTAGACATTTTGTAAAAAATGTAGATAGTTTTGTTTATTCAGGTGAATGGAATTAATGTTAGAGCTTCACTGGATAAGACTGTTAAACAGTTTATTCATCCAAGATATGGAATCATGGAGTTATACTAAAAGTGCCAGCTAACTGAGACTATAAAAATAACTATCTTTATTACAACACTTAACATAAACACAGTGTGTGTGTACCTGCTTGCCAGTTGGACTGAATGATGCAAGGTTTTGTACATTTTCCTTACCTTACTTGTACTCAACTGGGTTTATATGCCTTGCTTTACCTTCTGCTCATTGATTTAGATTTAAAGAAACCCTGGTTTTATATTGTTTGACTGGTGCTATACTGTGCGACAAGTTATTCTCAGAATATATACTTGAGACATTAACTTCTATGAGTATTTCCTGAACAGCCATTAAAAACATTACTAACTTAATTCTTACACAAAGTTGCATTAAGCAATGTTCTTCATGGTCAGCAATAGGATACTTGTAACTTTGAGAATAACAAAGAAAAATAAGGTAACTTGAAATACGATCAATTTAACAGTTTTCTCAATGATGTTTTATGTGAAAGCCTGCACATATTCAGAACAAAGAATTAAATTAGAATCAATCATAACACCACAAGAAGGTAGAAACTCATGATTTGTTCCTATACCACATTTTTCTGTCTTTTTTACCTCAGGCTTGTCCCAAACTGATAATTAACTTTTTTTTTTTTGTTTGAGAGTTATGGGGGTGCCAAAATAATTAACTTTAATCTTACAACCAATAAATTTTAGAATTGCAGGATTTCAAACACTTACACATCTCACAGGCATCACAACCCTTAAATAAAGATACAAGATAAATGAATAAACCCTTTAACAAAGAAAATCATAAAATTAAACCCTTGAACAATGAACATCTTACCCAGAAATATATAATACATTAAAAATGAAATTATTCATATCATAATGTACATCATTGAAAAATCTCTTTCAAAATCATGAAAATTTAAAAATAAAGCCCTTTAATATTGATAAAATGTATCAAAATACCCTTTAACCTGGAAGTGGTCAAATAAATATTCTATAAAATTATACATATTATCTTTTAACAAAACTAAAGACATGAATCAAACATACTATATAAATTAAAAGCCTTTTACAGCTAAACAAAAGTACATAATACATAAAAAAAAGGAACTCTTTAACATTGATAATAGGATACATAAAGTAAAAAAACTTTAAACGTATGTTAATCTGAAACTTTATAAAATCAATATATACACTGAACTAAATTTTTCTTACAGTTTGTTGATTATTTTATAATTTTAAAAAAATTATCTATGAATTAAACTATGTTGAAGAACTTTTGAGTTCAATGTTTGTTTATTGTTACAAAGCTATATTGTTTTTGCAACAGGGTCTTTATCATTCCTGTCAGGCATGGTTTTCATCCTCACTAAGCTTAAATCTAGAGAATTCAATAACCACACTATATCCAGGAACTTCTCTACTTCAGCACATGACATCTGACCAGTTCTACAGGTAGTGTACAGTGATATTTATTGGTTGTTATAGTTTCATATATAATTATTTTTAAAATTATTCCTTCTATGTATTTGCTGCTTTATTAAAAAGTAATATACACAAAACTCTGATTTTTTAGTAGAAAGTTTTGATCTATGAATGGTCTTAGCTTTGCAGCTTGTGATTTTAGTTACAGTGCATTGATTACACTTGTATTTGACTACTTAAGTAATTCTCCAATAAAAGATTGATGTGATTTTCTTTCTTACAAAACCTGTTAGATTTTTTACACCAAAAAATACTTGGTCTGTACGAGTTAGCATCTCCAACTGTAAGACAGAACAAGAGTTAACAGAGAATGAGTGCTCTTTGATGGTGATGGCCAGAGCTTTAGCGCTGCCTTCCTCTTACCTGTTGCCAGATGTTTCAAGAACTACAATAATCGACTGTTCAGAGTTAGAACCTAAAGTTGACTGTGCTCTTGAGATGATCCCTATAGAAGATGACTGGAACTACATTCTGATTTCTTTAGTTAGTAATAGCAGTGCAGAGTTCACTATCAGAGTAGAAATAGCAGGTGAGCCAAGAAACTTGAATACCTGTTAATTTCACAAAGATTTATACTATGTCATTTTATTTAGCTTAAAATGTGTACATTTAGTTAGGGAGTCAAGATTATTTCTCGTATGATACACTAATATTAATAAGGTCATATGTTAGTTGGTCAGTCAAAAGAGAAGAAATTGATTGTACATGGTAAACTGGCATTAAATTTAACTTCATCACTTTGGATGATAAATATATTTGCCTTATAAACTAATTAAGATCTGAATTGAAAGCAAATGTTGTAATGATTTATATTGTTATGTAGGTACTTTTGGATTATTTGGTAAAAGGAATGAAAAGTCCAGTCCATTTAATAAAAAGGAAAGCATTTTATTTCCTTTACCACCAAGTCCACTGAATGATAGGCTTAACTTCACAAATAATGTTAGTCATTTATTTGCTAATTTCTCCCATATCTCTAGTTCTTCATTGGAATACAAATTAAAAATTCACAAAACCAAAGTAACAGACTGATTTGGTAGCTAAGTAACCAATTCAACAAATAAGCCTACTTTACTTTAACTGGCATTTCTATATCATTTAAATCATATCCCAAACTCTTAAGAGTCTCAAGAAAATTCCAGAAGTCATGTGCTCATCATGTCACATTAAACTCTCTCTTGCAAACAATACAAACGTCCAAATCAAAATATTAAAAACATAGCCCACAACAAAAACTTAGCTCCTTAATTTTTGAAATGTAGAATTACCTTTGATTGTTAGTAGAAAAAGATGACCAAGATTGTTAAAAATCTACTGATATATTTGCTTTTTAGGTTGCTGTTTTAATGTTGATACAGAAGCATAATTTGTTTATGCAGGGATTATCAAAAGTAAATGATCAGAAAGGGTTTAAATCAGTGTTTACTAATAATCTATAAACTTAGCATAACTTGAAACATACTTTTGGAAAGGTGTGTAGCTCTGTTAGGTATAATTTTGAACCATAAGTTTTATCACTGAAACTCCACCAATTAGGTCTGGTGGAAAAAAAGCTACTAATCACTGTAATTAATATTGCCTTTTTTGATAATAAGTTTTTAAAATTTAATATACATATTTGTTTTTCAGTATGTGAAGACAACAAAGAAGACATGAATCAAGAACTAGTTCCAACTGTTCACCATGAGAACATTCGATCAATCCCATCTGTATTGAATTGGGACAATAAAACACTGTCTGAACTTAACTTAGAGACAGAGGCCTTTACAGCTGCCCCCTTTTTGCACAAATCATCTCATCATCCCATAATTCATTATTCAAACATCAAGGCTTCATGCTGGGATGAAGTGCCTTTAGTTCGTTACACTTTACAGAACTTAGCTTTTAAGTATGATGTATTTCCTGGGAACAATTCATCTGTACCTGCTCAGATTTATGTTTCTACAGAAGTTCCCACCCTCATGAGGTTTGATGTGTTTCCTCTTCAAGACATTGGAGGTACATTAGCTTTGAAGCTTGCTCTTCCTGCTACTGAAGTAAGCATCTAGAAACAATTCTATATTTTGTCATTTTTAATGTAGGTTTGAAAAAATTATTGTTCTATGTTTTTTGGTGGTGATGGTGGTAATTCATTTTTATTAGGAACTACTTAGCCAAATGGGAACAGGATTGGTCCATTGGGCTCACCCCTTATTGAACAAGAAATATTGACCATATTTCTGAATTTATTACATGTATCTACATGAAATATTCCAAGCTTTGAGTAAAAAAAATGTATAAATCTGTCATACACAAAAAATCAGATGTGTTACAAAAGTATTTGTACTCAAGATATGTCTGTGAATTGACAATGTCAATCTAATTCACTCTTTAACAATTTGCATATTGCACTTGTGTAAGCTCTAGATCCTCTGAAATGCATATCTAGATTTTTTTTTCAATATCCCTGTATATTGTATTTTTTATTTATTCTCCTCATTCATGAACTGTTGCTAAATCAGCAGTTTAAAGTAAAATAAATAGTTGATAACTCTAACATCAAATACATAATACCACTCTGTAAAAGGTTGTGATGTACACTTTAGGCAAGTATGAGGACAGCTCTTTGAGAGGTTATATCTTAGGTTTTAGAAAACACAAAGCTAAAAGAATAGACAGTTATTCTAATTGAGAGTTAGGTAACAACAAGTTTAATTTTGTATACTAATATTAGAAGTATTTTGATAAATTGCTAGAATTGGAAGTTTATATTGTTACAACAGCGGAAGTCATGTGATGCTGGTAACATGTCATGAGATTCTCAAAGGATCTTGAATTGTCCTGGCAACTCTAGTCTGTTCCAGGCACACTCTTTTTTAGTATATAAGCCGGAGATAGATTGAAGATAGAGATAATTGAGTCAAGTGAACAGTAGGCACCGTAAGTAAAGTGTGTGAATCACTGTGATTTATAGCGTGTGTTTGTAAAAGTAGTCAAATTTAAAGTGACTAACATTTCTAGATGAATAGAGTAATTAAAGTGTTAGTAAGTGAAAAAAAAGCTAATTTACAAGAATATAAAATACTTGTAATATGAAGTTGTATTGAAGTAGGTATAAAGAAACTTTATAAGTTACTGCTATGACAAAGAGGGACAATGAAATATTTATTTTCAAGCTTAAAATCTGACATGTTACACTTGTTAAAACTGCATAAAAAGAATCCAGGAGTAGATAAAGAGGGACAATGAAACTTTTATTTTCAAGCTTAAAATCTGACATGCTACACTTGTTAAAACTGCATGAAAAGAATCCAGGAGTAGATAAAGAGGGACAATGAAACTTTTATTTTCAAGCTTAAAATCTGACATGCTACACTTGTTAAAACTGCATAAAAAGAATCCAGGAGTAGATATTCTAGTAATAATGTTGTTGTTGTAGGGTAGAAGAAAGGAACATGGCTGGAGTGTTCAACAACTTCTCTACTAGTGAAAGAATAGATTTCTAATTTGAACAATTTCTTCAAAGGTGGAGAGTAATAGAATATGAAAATTAAATTTTAATACTGTGAAGCTAAAAGTAATGCATTTGGGTTATAGAAATTTGAAAAGAACTTTCCTCTTGTGTGAGTCAAAGATAGGATTTAAATGTGATGGCTGAAAAAAAAAGCTTGAAACCTAAAGATGGGTGTTTAACTGTGATTAAAATATCTAATGAAGTTCTGAGGACTTTTATCTATAAACTTGTAGTTTAAGAGCAAGAGAGTTATTGTAGCTTATAAGGCTTTATTTAGAACACTGTGTGGTTTCATTTCCATAACTACGGGTATGATATTAACATGCTGGAAAAAGGCAAAGATGTGCTGGTAAAATGTTACAGTTTTTAAAATTCTGAGCTAAAAATAAATACTTAAAAACTTTGACTTTTTTCTGGATCATAGAATAGCTAGGGATGACGAAACTTAGATATTTAAAATTGTTAGGACTTGAATAATCTGCCGATGGGTGGTCATTATTAATGTTGCAACAGAAAGGTTGTAAATGAAAACTTGAAAATTAGGGATAAAAGATTTAACTTTTGGAAACCTAGATACAGAAAAATATTAAGAGCTTTACACTTGACTTTGTGCTGAGTATATTATTTAATTATTTTAAAATTTCATATGTACTGTGTACCCTATGTGCATGGGTGGGGGTCAAAGTGTGTATGCCAGGATTTTTTTTACAGAATGCCATTCAACATGCATTATGTATATGATGTCAGAATTATCAACTATTGATTTTACCATATGCTGCTGATTTAACAATAATTTATGCTAGAGGAGAGTGAATATTAGATACAGTATACATAGATATTGAAAAAATTATAGATATGTATTTCAGAGGTTCTAGAAGTTATGCAAATGCAATACGCAGACTGTATAATGGACAAACATATTTTACCTCTTCACGTGAACGTCAACTTGCACTTCGACGTGTAAGAGACTGAGTCAGACTAATGTCCGTTCACCAAAATATGTTAAGTACAAATACTTTTGTAACACATCTGATTTTTTTGTATGACAGATTTGTAGTTTACTAAAACCTTGCCACATTTTGCATAGATACACAATAGTAAATTTAGAATTATAGTCAACATTCCTCCTCCAAAATGAGATCAGTCCAATGGACCAACTCCTTGCATATTTGGTGAAGGAACATTTTGTTTTGTTTTGGCTGCTGTGTTTGGTGATACTGATGGATAGCAAGATAATATTAATAGACTGAATGACCTTCTTTTATGTTGGTCTTATGTTATTAAGTTTTACCATTGTTAAAGCAATGTACCAAGTCTTTAAATGAAACTTAGATTTTCCACTTCTTTCATTGCACTTGCTTTTATACTTTTCATCTATATTTGGTGCTCATATTAATTTTCCTCTGTAAAAATGAGCTGTAGATAAACATGTACATCTTCTGTCTTCATCTATTCTAGCCCTAGTACTCTTTCACAGATTGTATTCTGACATATCTATGATATCTGAACATTTAATTTTCATTCATTAGAAAATGATACTCTGCATATTAATTTGGTAGATATCAGAGTAGTTCTTGTTTGAGTGAAGGTTTAGGCAAAGGAGATTATTATACTTGAAAAGCATTGTTAATGGACTGCTAACACCAATCTTCAGCAGGTCAAATTGTTCAGGTTGTTTAGACTTTATAAATTAGGAATGTGGCTGTAGTTTTGAGCTTCATAAGTTAGTTGAAAAGAAAAGGTAAAGCAAAGTAAGATTGAGCATAAAGAGAGCTTGGCCATAGGGGAGAGCTCAAGTTGGGATGAATTATGATGTTATCATATTTGATCTGGAGTTCAAACTGTGCAGAAATGGTGTTTATGGTTTTGTAACAGGAAAGGGGTCAAAATTTCTTTAAAACCTGCAGTTTTGCCTTTTATCCCCAAAGTAAGTTATAAACTCAAAAGATGTTTTGAAACTTTCAACAACAAAGCCTATTTCAAATCTATCAAGTGAAGATAGATTAATCTATGCTACCCATAAAATACCTTGTTCTTGTGAAAAAGTCAAGATAGGAGAAAACACAAATACTGGTCCTGTCATCAACCAGAACCAACAACAAATACTAGGCACTGAGAAGCACTGGAAAACTCAAAGAAAGATGTAAAGATTCATCAACTTACTCCGGAAAGTAATAAAGGCTTGGATTTTAACAAACTTTTGCTTCTTCCCTGTTACAAGACCATAAACACTGTGTCCACACAGCTTGAAATCCAGGTCAACTATTATGACGTTATAATACATCTCGACTAGAGCTCTTTCCTAAGGCTACACTATCATTGCTTTCAATCCTACTTTGCCTTACTTTTTTGGTTCCAATAACTCACAAAACTTACAATTACAGATGTATTCTTATGTGATAATGTATCAACAACTTGACCTGATGAAGATCTGTGCTTGCAGCTTGAAATGTCATCAAAAACTTCCTAGACAGATGCAGTCAATTAACGCCTATCAATTATACCACAATGGTTCCAAAATATAATCACATTCATAAAATATTATATATATATTTTTTTCCAATTTTATTGGCAAAAAAACAAACAAACAACCTGGGCTATAAATTAGTCAAGGGTTTGTAAGTCTAATACTTATTTTGTCCTTTCAGGTGTTATGCATCTCAACAACAAATAATATGAAAAGTAACTTTCTTTTCAGTTGTAGAAGTTAATGGTGTATTCTAAGCTGCTAAGTTATAATTCTTTCATTTGATCCTTTGGTACACTAATGTAACAAAAAATATAAATTACATTATATATATATATATATATATACTTACTAAGTTTTTTATTTTGGACAGGATGAAAGAACCAATGATTTTTCTGTTGAAGCATGTGTAGAGTATGGATTACGGCCCATATTAACACCAAGTGGAGCATGTTTAACACAAATGTCAGTTTTGGTTAACAGTAGCTCCTGGTACACTAGGCTTAAAACTTTAATGATTCCATACCCTCAGGCAGGGAGCTGGTATATCAGTCTATTATCCCGTTGTTATTTGGAGGAACGAAACAACAATGCAAGGTTAGTTTTAATTAGAAACTAATCTATTTGTTCCATTCTTATTTTTTACATAGTAAGAAAAGAGTTTTGATTCTGTAGATATTGTGGTATTTTCAAGTCAAATTAATTTTACTTAAGAGTGATGTGACAGGTCTGCAGAATAACAAGAAATTTGTTATGGAATAATACTGAATTTCCGGATATGTGAATTGTGAGAATGAAATAGAGATTGGACACAAAATTAACATGAAATGAAAAATCTTTATTGAAACACTAAAGACAAATACTTTTACTGGATTTACCTTTAGACTACTTACTCTTGAAGATCATTTACCATACTGTTTAAATCCAGTGTTCTGTACTTTGCAAGAAATGTTGTATTTATCCAGTGTGATTAGTGCTACCAACGTGACCAGCCATTCTCATACAAGTATAGGTGAGCAGTAACCTTGCAACACCACCTGTTCTACCATTGAAGGGCACGGCTATTCACATTCTTGTACAACATGCAGTATTACAGCAATAACTACCATGTGCAGAACAGGTATTATCTCTTAGAGAATGACAAAAGAACAAAGGCAGCTAAAACAAGGTGAACTTAATGGCTTTCTTGACCATATGTGATGTGAAACTGCACACATATACAGAATAAAGGATAACCTCAGAATAAATACTATTATAATACAAAGTTAGAACACATGAAATATTTTTATACCACAATATTGTGATTTAGTCAAGTATATTGATAACAACTGAAACTTTATGATGTACTTCAATACTGAGTGTTGCTAAAGAATACTGAAAATTATCAGAAGTAATTAAAACACAATAGGTTTAAATTCCTGAGTTTACACGATTGAAGGTAGCAAATATAAACAAAAGTAAGTCTGTTTTATAGTATCATTTGTAGACATTTGAATTATTTAAATTAGTGAGTTGAATCAAGGATTTATATTTGTAATGAATAAATATAAAGATGTTCTTTATTGAAATACACTAAAGACTTTTATGTTGTTGGGATAAGATGAAAAAAAAGCATCCAATAAACATATCAGCTTTCTGTTTTTCCTTGATTATTTATTAAAAATACCTGTCAGAGAGAAAAGTCTTTTAAGCAATGAGCAGTTTTTGTATATAATTTACTAATTTGCCTGAACTTGTCTACAAGAAGCAAGATTTAACATATATACAGCAAGTATGACATATTCATACTAAACTAGTTTTAATAACAATTGTATAGTAAAGCTGAATCTTAAATACTTTCTTTTATTCAGCAATACATTAGATGTGACATGTAATTCCAGCAAGATACCAGTCATTGTTCAGATCAGTTCACTACCATGTATTCTGGGAAAATGTGGAGATCATGGAAAATGCTATCAGTATATAAGTGGAGGTTTCATCTTCAGCACTTGTGTTTGTAGTGCAGGTATGACTTTGTACATGCTAGAGCGTTGTTTTATTTGTCTGTAAATATAGAGGGTGTCTCAAACATTTGTTGCCATAAGCTGAATGTCTATACATGTTTACAGAACTGATATGGTACTGAAAGATACTCCTCGTGTTCATCAGTGCTCATTGCCATTAACAGCTAATTTCTTTAAACTGACAATGGCAACTGATTGTTGGGATACCCTGTATATACATTAGATTTTTTTTTTGTAATTCATTAGAAGCATTTTTTTAATGTTTTGGTTTCACATAAAATACGCCATTACAAATAACTGGTCAATTTATTGGGACCCTGTGTAATAATGGACCATAGTATAGACACCATAAAATTCTGGCTGGAATGCAAATGACTTTTCAGATACCCTGTATATACATTAGATATTTTTGTAATTCATGAGAAGCATTTTTTTAATGTTTTGGTTTCACATAGAATATGCCATTACAAATAACTGTTCAGTTTAATGGGACTCTGTGTAATAATGGACCATAGCATAGACACCATCAAATTCTGGCTGGAATCTTGTTAAAATTTAGGCCATTATTCATGTAGTATGGTTTGCAGTTAGTTTACATATATCTCCAGCATAATACAGAAGAAAATTCAACATTAAATTTTCCTCTAAAATGATAAATTAGATCGAGATCTTGTGATTATAGTGGCTAAGGAAGATCATTGAAGTCTATATTTCTTTATAAATCAATCTTGGAAAACATGAGCATGATGGATTAATGGATTATTGTTTTGGAATAATTTTTTTCCACTGCGGGATGATAAAAATAGCAACTGTTCTTAGGTACTATTCACCTTATCAAAGGAGTTAACTTGCATTGTTACAAGGACGTCTGCTTTTAACAGAAAATTATGTCAAGTAATTTGCACTGTTAGAATGCAAGAAAGGCCTTGTAGTTCTCCATATTTGTATTCTACCATCTATCAGTCCACATCATGTTTCCAGTTATTCATTGTCCATAGTTTACATCATAAGCATTCTGTAAGCCATGTTTTTCTAGTTTGTATCAGATGTAAATGGTTTTCAGTTGTTCATGTAAATGGAGTGTTATAGAGGTATATACATATTGGATAGTCTCAATAAAGTGGTTAATTAAGTGTGTGTTACTAATATATTTGTGTTATATATTTTGTGTCAATTCAATTCAATTATACAAAAGGTCTGATGAAGAAGATCCCTCTTTAAGAATTTGAAAAAATTGATAAGTAAATGTTAAATGGTTTTTTAATGTCTAAAGATTATGTTAGTTTATCTAAATTTTATCTATATATTTTTATTCATTTGATTTTGTACTCATATGACAATGTAAACTATATTTTATTTTGTTAAGTTATTTTGGGTGAATACATATATTTTTCCATAACAGTGATTTTCTGATTAGTGTACATTTTTCTTGAGTTCAGTTCTTATTAATCAACATATCTTTTAAGCATAGTACAAAGTATATTAAAAAGATATAATTTGTTATATGCAGGTTGGCAAGGTTGGGGTTGTACAGACAGCAGACATGCACTGTCATATGGCCAGCTCTTGCAAGCTGTTCTTTTGCTGACTTTAAGCAACATATTTTTTATTCCTGCTATTGTCCTAGCTTTCTATCGTCATTATTATATAGAAGGAATAGTCTTCTTCCTTACTATGTCTTCTTCAATGGTAAGTTTTAAGTTCTGTGCAATAAATATTGACTGTTTTATGGTAAAAGTATTTAATTGTGTAAAGAACTAACCCTAAATATTGGATGAAATCTTGTTTACTTGCTTTTAATTATGTACAAAGCTACACAAGGGCTTTGTGCTCTGCCCACCATGGGTATCGAAACCCGGTTTCTAGCATTGTAAGTCTGCAGACATACTGCTGTGCCACTGGGGGGCTGGATGAAATCACTAATTTGTTTTTTAAATACATATAAAACTCTGGCAGTATTTGTGGGACTAATTGCAGTATTGATGGTATTTTTGTTTAATTTTTTTTTTTTGTTGTGACTCTTATATTATTAGGGACTCTGTAACCAACAAAGTTGTGGATCCACAAGAAATGTGGTGCATAAATAGTTTAGACAAATGTGTTTAAAAATATGTTAGAATTCATATATATCCCACTGATAATTTTTGAAAGTCTGATAAAAGATGATTGGCAAAGTCATTAAACAAAGTTTAAAATTTTGTTGGATAGTCAACATGGTTTCACTAGGGGAAAACCTTGCCTTACTTTGGCATTCTTTAAAGAGATTGTTGCTCATTTAGATGAGGGTATGGGTGTGAATTTTGAAAAAGCATTTAATTGGTGCCATATGGAAGGCTTTTTGAAAAAGTTATCTCTGTAGGTGTAGGGAACAGGTTAGCTCATTGGATAGAAAAGTGGCTGGATGGAAGAAAGCAGATGGTTATTATAAATGGAGTTTAGTCAAACTTACTTAATGTCATAAGTTTTGTACCTCATGGCTCATTTGTAGGACATTTGCTTTTTTGATTTACATAAATCATATATATGAAGGAATGGTCAGTAAAATACTTAAATTTGCTGATGATATTAAGATTTTGGGTGTTGCCGACTGTGAGTAGAATGATACTACTTTACAAAAGAATTGGTATTACTTGGTGAGTTAGATGAATAAATGGCAGATGGTTTTTAATTACAATAAAGGTAATGCATGTGGGATATCATAATTTGAATTAAAGAGTATAAATTTTGATAGTATTATGAAAAAAAAAAGATATTGGTGCTCTGGTTGATCAGTCTCTTATACCATTCAAGCAATGTTCTGTTGCTAGTGGTAGAGGAAATAGGATTTTAGATTGTGTCTAAGAAAATATTGAATACAAGTCTAAAAAAGGTTATAATTCCATTGTATAGGTCACTGGTTAGGCCAAATTGATTTCTCTTGAAAAAAAAAGAAGAGTTAGATCTGGTTGAGATATTTAAGGTTAAGTGAAGGGATAGTATTAATGCATATATTTTTTGTACTTATTGAGAATAATAGGAGTAGGGGTCACAGATATATATTTTGGCAGAGTAGGAGTAATCCTCAGCTAAGACAGTTTTATTTTTCTAACAGGGTGGTTGACCTTTAGATGTGGTGGTTACAATAAATTTACGGAAGTTTAAGAGAACACTTGATAAATATTTGTGTATTTCATTTTTAAGATATAGTTTAGTGGATGGGACAGTCTAGATGGACCAAATGATCCCTTTTTGTCCTTGAATTATATGCTATGTTATAAGTTAAAATACAAATTTATTGATACTAAATAGCAAATGAGTAAGAACATTATAGAGCTGTGCTAAGAGCAGAAACACAAAATCAAGATGCCACCATTTCTGTTTTGAAATTTAATGTTTTTACTGGTATAATTATCAGTGTAGTTATAAAAATAATACTTTTTCTTATGAATTCCTTTAGAAAGTAAGTCACAAATTAGTTTTAAGTCTTGACTTACTTGGATTCATTCTTTTGTAGTTTTATCATGCCTGTGACACAGAGATCAAAACGTTTTGTCTCATGAGACTCAGTTTACTGCAGTACTGTGATTTCTATCTGGCTGTTTTGGCTCTATGGGTAACACTGATTGCCATGGCAAATCTCTCAGAGACATTACGATCTTTTGCACACATGGGTGGAGCTGTGGGAATTGCTATAGCAGTAGAATATGACAGGACAGGTCTGTGGACTTTTGTGATTCCAGCAGCAGTGGGATTTTGTATCTTGTCTGTATCCTGGGTAAGTAATAATAGTATTATACAAGATGTACTTCTACAGGGTCCCAAAAAGTGTTCATAACCAAAATTAAGAGTTACAAATATTTTTATTTAATTTGAGGTTCATATGTCATGCTGTGTCGTAGCCTACAGAGTGCATAATTCTTCTCATGATTCATGTCATGTGTATGTTTTACTGATGTCACAGTAGTACAAATTGCAATGTTAAGCATCCCTTATGTGATGTCATTTTAGTGTCTACTGACTGACTGACAGACAACACACAACCGTATAGTGGTGACTCATCCAGACAGCTTTTGGCCCCCTTTTGGGGAAATTACAAATAATGTAGCTTTGGGACCACAGTTAATAGTTTTCCTTACTAAACATAATTTATGGTAACATTATTATAATTTTTAATAATGTTACTCAACAGTAAAGTTGAATTTCAAGGCATTCAGGGGAGAATAAGCTGTAGAAAGTAAACACTTCTTGCTAGTAAAAAGAATGAGTAGGTATTGTTTTAATAGCATGTATAAATTTTGAGAAGTATGATATTATAATTTTTTTAAAGTTGAATTGTAACAGTGTTTTGTAATTTGAATTATTATTGTCTATGTTAGATTTATCCAAGACATTGCGAAACAGACCATTTAAAACTTTACATTAACCAAAGTCAAGTGGTTGAGAGAGACCAACACTTAACACATTTTTGTTTCAAACATTGTTTTTCTCAGCTTGTATTTCTTTATTTATTTAGACCACAATTTTTTCATAAGTTGGTTAACTTTTATAATGTTGTTAAAGTATAGCTTGTGACATCTTATTTCAACATTTCTTCATTTATGATAAACAATTTCTATACACATCAGAAAAACTAATTATATGTATTTTTTTTTTGTTAGCTGAGCAATTGTTTATCCATTTGCTTTTTATTTCTCATGGTCTTGTAATTATTCAGCTTATGATCCATAGCATCATGTCAATCATTTAGAACATGTAGTAAAACCAGTTTCTGAAAGCTTGTGGTTTGCAATACTGTAGGTGTATCACTGCAGACAGCAACACAGCTGCTACCCAAAGATGAAGACTTGGTTTCTCTGTATTCTACCAGGAGCTTTGTTTGCTGCTGGAGGAGTAGTTCTCTTTGCAATCCTTGAGACTCAGAACAACTACACCTATGTTCATAGTGCTTGGCATGCCACCATGGCTCTGTCTGTATTGTTTCTTCTGCCCAAAGAACGAGAAACCAAAGGTAGGCAGGAACCAATCAACACTTGTAGCTACATTCGTATAGAGGAGCTGAATGATGTTAGTCTGTCCTTGGACCATGGGGTATATGAGCACTTACTTCAGCCATCCTCGTGATTACAATGTATTATGCTGCATGTAATGCTACTGATTTATAGAATTATAAATTCTTTATTGTGTTCACATATGGCTGCTTTGTAGAAAGTTACTTTAGTCTCAAAATTATGTTGGTTACTAAATAATGGTGAGAGAGAGTTATTTGAAATATTTATTGGAATTACAGTATTTTAATTTATTAAAACAAACTAACTGATATTTAATGATATAAAACTTTGGACCAATCTTTTGAAAACAAATTAAAACAATTTTTTGATAGGAACATAATCAGTGTTAATGTGAATTTCATGTGGTTTCCAAATAACATTTATGATACATTACTTGTTGAAATCATTTCAAGTTTTGAATGTTAATTATGAGACTAAACTACTTTTTTGTGCTCTAAGATGAAGACTTTATCATAAGAATCAGAAATTTTTAATGAACTCTTTTAACTATCTTATGCTCAATATAGGTTGTTGTTATTTCAGAGAATGTACATTATTTAAATATACACATTATGGTGTACTTTAATGTATAAATGTACATGTATATAAACTTTATACATTGGTAAAATTTTATGTGTATTTGGCCTGTCATTTGTACTTATGTATAAGTTAGTAATGTGTGAAGACACCTAAAAAATTCAAATGTTTAGGTTAGAGACTAAAAACTGTATGTGATGTTTAGTAATGTTAGTGTTTTCATGAATGACACAGTTAATTTAGATAAGCTGGTCTCATGTGTTGTTTATGCAGCTCAACTGTTTTGTAAAATAATAATTTGTGCTCAACTTGTACAAATGTGTTAAATTTTAATTTTGTTACTTGAATTGTAGTAAAAAATAAATGATTTGTCATAGTTTTTTAGTTTAACAAGCACTTAGAATTTATTAGTTTATATGAAGTATTTGGGTAGAATTGATATTTCTGTTTGATTTTATCATCAGTTCTTTATTGAAATAAGGATAAATCTCAATTTGATTGCTTTTGCATTCATAAATAGTGAAACATTACAAATGATTTGTGTAAAAAAGTGAGTATTATTTATAAGATATAATTTTTTCTTCATCAGTTACATGTGCTCTAGTCTCTCCTCTGCCTAAAGTATATATTTTTTATATTTTCTTTGTAGCTCATTTACATAAACAAATTCCTTGTAAATACCTAAAACTTTTATCAAAATGGAGGTTTATTAGTGATATTCTAATAATCGTTTTTGGGATTAGTTCTGCTGGTGTTGGTATGTGTGCATTTATATATATATATATATATATATATAAGTGCACAACAAAAGTAGGAAACAAATTTACTTCAGAACACAATATTCAGGAGTTTTATGCTTTTATATACCTATTATCATAAAGGTATCAAAATCTTTGGAATGCTTCATTTCTATGGGTAGATCAGGGATAGAAATAATGAAATAAAATTACATTCATTTGAGGGAAAGCTATCAGGACAATTTCATTCCATCAGGTAAAGTTGCCTTTCCTCATGAATTGTTTTTTATTTAATTTATGCAGTATGTTCACATTCATTGGTCATAACTAAAAGAATATGAATGGACCATGCATTCCAGATCGGGAAAACCAACTAAAAAGATAAAATTCCTCAAGCAAAGTTGAATTCTTTGGGAATGTGGGAATGTAATATTTCGATCCCTGTAGATATATATATATGTTTGTATATAAATTAGGTTGAATAGAGATAGAACATAAATTTGCTGATTGAATGGTTGAAGTGCATGTTATTAATATAGCCCGATATTAAAGCTAGTCAGCAGATGAAATGAAACAAGACATAAAGAAATGCTGAACCAGAACTAATTAATATATTAATTATACCATATTTGTATTATCTGGTGTGATGTGATATCCATCTTAAATAATCAACTGCCTCTTCAATGTCATAATTTAAAATTGAGTCATGAAATGGCAATATTGTGTTTTAACCCATCTATCATAGGAGGTTAGCTGAAAGCCTGTAGTTATTAATTAAGAAGAAGCTAGTCATCTAAACAACTACCAAGTTCATTTCAGCATTAATATACAATTGTGTCAGTATAAATATAGAATAATAAACTTTTATGGATGGATAAAAAGTGATTGTATTATTGATATATCTGTAGTTACCATCTGTTGAGAAGGTCAGAAAGTACATTCCATTATCGTTGTATATGATAACAAGTTTTTATATTTAATGACTTTGAAGACTAATTGGTGATGTTTTTCTGTTCAGGAGGTTTGTTTAAAATACATATTTCGAAGATTTGTAAAGATTTGCATGATATGTTTAATTTGTAGAGTATCAAGATGGCATGATATATGTAAAAGCATGAAATAAATATGTATGGGTAGGTGTATTTAGTAAAATGTTTTTTAAATCTGTTGCTCTTATCATACATGAGAGACCACACAACATGACCATTAGACATAATAACACAAACATTGGAGTTAAAAACCTTAGCATTGGGATGTTTGCACTCATTTTATGGAGATGCTTGTAAATAACAGCATGCACAATTAAACACAAAAAATGTGATAATCTATTCTGTGTAAATAACCTGAGGATTAATGACTCTTTATTACATTTTTTTCATTAACATTTTTATGAGAAATGTTTTTTCTAGGAGTGCACTCAAGTCAGTCAAATTTGCTACAATAAACTATGGTGCTTTCTCTGTAGTGAAATACGTGTATAGATTCAGAATAAAAATTATACAATCACAAATGATTAAGATATTTTTGTTGATGAAAGAAAAAGTCAAATTTTAGGAAAATTATAAGAGTCAAGTTATATTGGTTATTAGACTGACAGCATTTTACAGTAAATTTTTCTGTTAAAAACATGAGTATATAGTTTTTTACATAATGTAATAGTTTTTTACAAAACTTTAGCCCAAGATGTTTTTTCATTATGAAAACTTGAACTTGCTTTATTAGAATAGCTGTATTAATAAATATACAGAAGAGGAAAACATTTCTTTACGTTTAAAAAAAATGTATATTCCAATGCAACTAAAATGAAGATTTTGGACAAGTTTAGAGTACTGAAAATATATAAACAGCAGAAAGCCCTTTCGTTTAGATTTTTATAATATTGTCTTAGGATAGTTTTCAAATAAGAGAGAGGAATTTGACTATTGATCCTAAAAAATGTGGTAGGGAGCACTAGTTTTATTTAAGCATGACATTTATATTTTAACCAGAACTCTTAAGACATGAAAACATCCTCTGGGAATCAGGGCCATATATAAGAGAGAGTAATTGGGAAATTTGCCCATGGCCTTGGAAAGCCAAGGGATTCTAACAGTCCAAGTTAAAATACATAAATAATTTTAAAGTGCTATTCCAGAGTTTGGAATCCAGTTCACTTGTCCTCTGATCCTGCTAGCCAAATGTCGGCATCTGCTAATGGTCACATATACACAAGAAGACAGTGAGAGAGAGAGGATAAAATCTTCTGGGTGGTTTGGTTGTGCAACATAAAATGCAGCATTTGTTTAAAACTTGAATAATTATATTCAAAATTCAGTAACTTCTACAGTGACACAAGAGGACTTTCAAAGGTTGTACTATAAGAACTAAGCCCAGTCTAGCGTGAGAGGGGTCTGTTCTGGTTCCTTGTCCTGGGGCCCATTATACCTAACTCCAGCCCTGCTATGAATCAGTTTAGCATGCCAAAGTATCCTGTTAATCACAAGTTTCTTCATTTTAGGGCTTTCTTTCTAACAGCTTTTTGATCATACAAATCATGAAATTGTAATTTAAGCTACATGTAAGATTAAAACATTTATTTAGTGTGAGGGTTCGAAATTTCCTCTTGTATATTCAAGGTTTATCAATATATCAGTCTTTGATGGGATTGAATTTATGTGGAACAAACCATCAGCTGGTTGTCAACACATTAAGATTACAACTAAAATATCACTTCAACATCATTTGCAGCTCTAAAATAGAATGCACATTAAAACAAAGAAATAAAAGGAGTTATATCACTTACAAAACCAGATTTAAGTTGCACTTCTTTTTTATAATAGTGTGTTAAATGCTGTTTTACTTATGAGTGTTAGGTACAATTCTAGTTAAAAATTACAGTTATATATTTCCTTTACTTATTTTCCTTGTAAAATTTCTTCACAGTTGGAAGAGCATTTCAAGTTATTCAACTTTTTCTAGCTTACAGACAGGCAACATTATAAACAGTTAAAAGCAAATTAGGAAAATAAAGGTTGACCTACACATAACACTGTTTGAAGTTAATCTTCCTATAACAAACAAAATAGTTTAAATGACAATGATACAACATAACAAGCAAAAGAAACAGATAAGTATACCCATATTGGCAGTATTGCTTTTGTTTGTTATATTACACTTTTCAAATTTTGAATTAAATGTACTCTACTCATGGTTCCATATGTCTTATGTTACTCTGAAATTTCTTTTGAATTCTGAAAGTTAATTATCAGTGTAGTACATTTTGTAATTCTGTAGCATTTTGAAAGTACTATCAAGATTATATGACTTGTTTAGAAACTCACATTTGCAAAAACAACAACAAAAAACAACAAATCCATGCTCAAAGTAGTTTATAAACAAAAATTATACTGGCTTATGTTATAGTTTATGCAGACATTATATTTCTGAGGTATTACATGGTTACCTCAGCCCTACTCTTGAACCTAAATCAACTTCTTTCCTACATGTTATAGCTTCTACTGTTGTGCAGCTGGGCTGGAAACTCCATGGATCTCTTAGGTATCTTGAAGATAACCAAATGGATGAGCTCTGAGCAGGAATTCCAGCATCTACCAGCTATCTCAAGTTAAATTTTGAACCAAGGCAACCATTCAGTTTTTATATAAGGCTTAGATTTTTTTAATATCATTAGTTTGGGATTGAAGACATTAAGTAGTATTTATTGGTTTTTAGTTACAGTGTAAACTTTATTATTTGCACACAACATTCATAAAAAACTGTATACCAAGTATATTTTGGATTTAAAAGTGGAATAAATTTATATTTAAAAACTTAAAAATTTGGATAATGAAAAACATAAATTTTTGGGAAACCTTTATTTTGTCTATAAAGGTCCACGTTATAATTTCTTTATTTATTTTATTTTATTATTTGCTTTTTCTTATCTTACTGACTATTTTTTAATATTAATGATGACCAGAAATATCCATAAAACCTAGAAATTCAATGTGTTGTAATGTTCAAATTGTAAATTTTTCTTATCTTCACTGCATTGTGTAATTTCAATGAAGAAAAGAAAAATCCATGCAAATTGTTCAAATTATTGTTTGACCTCTTAAGCTTTAGAATAATGTTAATAGTCATCCTTGGAAATTTGAGGATCTGCTCTCACCTCACATATTATGACTACTTACATTGTATGACTTGTAAAGAAGTATAATACTTTATAAGAACAGTGCCTTGAAGGTGAAAGTAAAGGGTCCATTCAAAGAAATATGTGACTTGGGGTGGTCTGGTGGTTGGAGCACTAGATTTGCAATCTGTGGATCACAGGTTCGAATCCCACCACTGAACAATCTCACCCAGTGAGTGGGTGGTGTTGATTAGGTGCCTTCCTTTTAGCCTATTTCTTCTAAATTAGGGGCAGCTAGCACAGATAACCCTCGAAGAAAGTTAATAAAGGCAATATTAATAAAAAAAATGTAACTTTGAAAACAAGTGGTTCCCTTACATCATAAAGGGGAAGATGCTTGTTTGAAGGGTTATTCCAATTCCTAACTAGTGGTGGTGAAAAGTTAAATTATTAATTCCATCACATCAACACACAGATCCATAGGATTACAGAAGTACAGGAGAGAAGACTCCAAATTGAACTCGTATTATAGTTGTATATAATTTTGGGTAGAAAATGTGTATTATACTTATAGGCTGAATTTATGTGTATTGTGTGTATGTATATATATATAACTTGTAAGTTGTGGAAACAGAATTAATATTACAGGAACATGCTCAAATGTGGACAAAGTTCACCATCACATCTATAGAATACTTCATTTGAAATAGATGTTTAATGGGAAGCATTATTGACTATGGATCGATATATACATTCTAAAAAGTTATAATATTTAAACATAGTGATTTATTCATTAGCTGAACACCATCCAAAACTCATTGAAGTTATTTTTTAAACCAAAAATCATTTTATACTAATCTGTGATTTTTAAACATTTCAAAAATTTACTTAGGATATTTAAAATTTTCTATCTTATTTTTCATCGGCTGTATTTCGAAACCACATTTTGCCAGGTGTCAGAGTATCACATTTTTTACCAATTTATATAAGAACTTTTTGCATAACTGCTCTAAAAAACAACCAAACAAAACTTTATCTATGTATTTTTGGTATGTAAGTTCTTTTTTCTTTTAAATATCTTATAATTTTATCATTTGAATTCAATCTCGGTTTTTGTCACTCTATTTGAGTGTGTTTTATCTCTATGAGACTCATAAATTGTAAATAAGTATTACAATTGTTTTTGGAAAAATTCACACGGACTGTTTAATAAAATTATATTTCTAAGAAAATAAGTTAATTGTGTTTCTATCATGATACCCCCTGTGGCTCAGCAGTATGCTTGAAGACTAGTGGTTAATTATCGTGGTTTGATCCTTGTATTGGACAAAGCATATATAGCAAAAATTAAGGTGTAGCCTTGTACTTAACATCAAATAAACAAATCTTTGGTGTATAATAAACAAAATGTTCAAGGTGTAGCCTTGTACTTAACATCAAACAAACAAATCTTTGGTGTATAATAAACAAAAATGTTCAAGGTGTAGCAACATCAAACAAACTTGTACTTAACATCAAACAAACAAATCTTTGATGTATAATGAACAAAATATTCAAGGTGCAGCCTTGTACATAACATCAAACAAACAAATCTATGGTGTATAATAAACAAACTATTCAGGTAATTCTTATGGACTTAAACATTAATTTTGTGAACATTCAGACAGTCACACCAAATACTTTTTTAAATCTATATATATATTTCCACCTTCTGATAAAATACAAGGTTGGTCTGAATAAGTCATTCCCATTAATTGACCTTTGAAATAGTTAAATATAATAACATTATTACTTGTAATGCCAGGGATGTCGTATGTGTTTATATTAAGAGTTGGTATAAGTAATAAATCAAAGCATAAGATGAAGCTAATTTGTCCCGCAACATTGTCTTTTCTGCTAAACTTTCGCAAAGAGATTATAATCCAAAACATATGCGTAGAGCATGTTTAGCTTATGTACTGATATATGAATGAAGCCAAGTGTGGTTAGCGTGTCGAGCTGCAGTATGCCACTGAACACGCTCTGAACA